GAGGATAGAACCAAGACAGCTTTATGGGTACCTCTTTTGGGTCCCCTAGTGTTTTCCTGTCCAGGTCCCTGCCATGTTAGCTTGGCTTCTATACCTCCTACCCTATCTTTGGCATTGCAGCCCATGGGGCAAAGCTTTGATTTAGATGAACTATCTTTGGCTTGCATACATTTCATTTGGCCCACATGTTATATTCAAAATCTAGTCACCAACATTAACACTTTTTGAGATTTCAAATAATTTCTGACTTCTCTTGAAAAATCAGACAGCCAGGTTACACCGCATGATACTCACCACCTGGAAGCGAGTGACAGGTGCCCCTGCTCTCCAGCTCTCACAGCCCACCTCTCTCTACTGCATGACAACAGGCCTACTTCACCAGTTTAAGCCACCTGCCTGCATCTTGTAGGCTTTTGAGTCTGGCATCCCTGATACAATCACAATGTACCTGCTAGGGAAGTGCTGGAGGTCACAGAGTCTGGCCGAGCAGTGAGCTTGAGGCAAGACTGGTAAGAGGCCTGAGGCAACCACAATTCTGATAGGAAGGGTTTCTATGGTGAATGAAACCTTTCCCATCCCCCACAGGTTATGGGAGATGAAATCAGAGTCCCCCATAACCACTGGGGTTAGAGGAACAGAGCAGTCATATGAGACTGGGAACTGTGAAGGGACATGGGTTTATCTTGGCAGCCCTTAGACTATCTGAGAAAGGCAGTTTCCTAGTTGCACAGCATGCACTGTTCCACCGTAGTGCCTGTCCAGCCAGCCAGGGGCAGGGGCAAAAGTTGTGGGGAGGGGGCAGACAGAAGACTCAAATCATGTTGGCACCTTTTGCTTTCATCTTGCCCTGCGTTAGCTTGGGTTTTTTTTTTTTCCCCCCTCTGGCACCCCTTCATATGGTTAGGTCGTCTGACCTCGCCCGGCTGCTGGCTTTGCTCAGCCTGCTCAGGGGTCTGGTCTCATCGGCCGACAGCTCTGGACCTAGTGAAGGCGTCTTCTCAGCTGGCAGCCCTTGCTTTGATACCTTCTCCGCCGGCAGCTCTTCTTTCTCATCCTCTGTCTCCACTCCAGGGGTCTCTACTTTCTCCTCCTCTGGCCCTGGCACTATCTCCTGCCCTTCCGTGGTCACCCTCTCTTCTTCCTGCTTTTCTTCCACCTCGGGTTCTGCTGCCTCCTCTACAGGCTGCTCCTCCCCCTCCACCTCCTGTGCCCCCACCTGAGCGTAGGAAGGCAGCGTCTCTTGGTAGCCCCGGGACAAGTCCCCTAGCGGTCCTGTGCTGATCTTCTCCTCGAACTGACTGAAAGGCTTGGCAGAAAGCGGGCTGGTCTCCACCATCCCAACCTCAGTCAGAGGGAAATAGTGGGACACGATTTTCTCTTCTTCTAGGAGCTGGTAGCCCTTGGCTTTCTGGATGGAGGAGACGGCGATGGAGTGGAGGGATTTCTCGGGAATCTCTCCCAGCGGCTGCTCCACAGGCCTCTTGAAGGCGGAGCGGATCCCCTTCAGGCCCAGGTGGCTCATCTCCATGATGTTGAGGAAGAGGGACACCGAGGCCACGGACAACATGAACAGGATGAAGATGGTTTTCTCAGTGGGCCGTGACACGAAACAGTCCACCACGTTGGGGCAGGGCCACCGGCTGCAGCGGTAGAGGGGCAGGATCCGGAACCCGTACAGGAAGTAGTGGCCCACGATGAAGCCCACCTCGAAGAGGGTCTTGAAGATGATGTGGCAGATGTAGGTCCTCAGCAGGGTGCCCTCCAGCCGGAACTTCTTGGCGCCTTTGCCGCTGCCGCTGCCCTTCTTGAGGCTGCCCTGGTCCGGGGTGAGCGGGGCCCTCTCGCCGCCGTTGCCCGCCGCCTGCTGGCCCAGCTCTTCCGCCTCGCGGTCCTTGCGCTTCTCCTCCATGCGGACGTAGTGCACGGCGTGCCCCACGTACATCAGGGACGGGGTGGAGACGAAGATGATCTGCAGCACCCACAGGCGGATGTGGGAGATGGGGAAGGCCTCGTCGTAGCAGACGTTCTCGCAACCGGGCTGCTGGGTGTTGCACACGAAGTCGGACTGCTCATCGCCCCACACGAACTCTGCGGCCGTGCCCAGGATCAGGATCCGGAAGATGAAAAGCACGGTGAGCCAGACTCTGCCGATGACCGTGGAGTGCTCATTCACCTCCTCTAGGATGTTCCCCAGGAAACTCCAGTCACCCATCTCTCACCCACCTAGAGGAGGGACAAGGCAAAAGCTGAGCGGCCACAGTGCAATCCGGAGTCAATCGCTTTCTGCTAACGCTCGGGCCACCTCCCCTTTCCAAGCTGTGAGAAAAGTCCACGTGTAAACAGTATCCTCTGTGTGCAGATTACTCTTCTGTGCAGGCTAGGACTAGGGGACAAAGGGGCACAAAAGAATCTGCCTCTATCAGCTTCCACAAGTGAAAATTCTTGTTCACTTCACAAGTGGTCTGAAAGGATCGACGAGGCAGTGTTTGTGTGATTCCATAAACTCCACCAAAAGTAAGGATTCGTTGTTGACTCTAAACAGAAACCCATGGTTATGTAGATTTAAAGCAAGACCACAAGCTGATCTAAGGCTTGTGAGATATAATGCTGAAAACTACCCTATACTGTGGGAGTCTGGGCCGCCGATAAAATTCTTTTTCTTTTGAATTGGGATCCCACTTTGTTATCCAGGCTGGAGTGCAGTGGCATAGATCATAGCTCACTGCAGGGCTCAAGGGATCTTCCTACCTCAGGCTCCCAAGTAGCTAGGACAACACCCAACTAATTAAAAAAAATTTTTTTTTTTGGCGACAGGATCTCACTATGTGACCCAGGCTGGTCTTGAACTCCTGGCCCCAGGCAGTCTTCCCATGTTGGCCTCCCAAAGCACTAGGAACACAGGCATGAGCCACCATGCCCAGCCAAAATTCTTGTACGTGTGAAATTGCCTGTAGCCACCTTACTTTTGACCGTGCCAAAATGTCTAATGGTTGTATATTTGAAGGAAAGTGGAAGGGAACTAACATTTATTTAATATCAACTTTGGCAAAGAATTTTGACATTGTATTATTTCATTTAATTTGATCCTGCTAGACTGTAGTGTCTATGAAGGTAGGAGCCATGCCTTTCTTATTTACTGCTGTATACTCAATGCCTGACACACAACCCAGCACATCGTAAGAGCTCAATAAGTGTTTGTTAACTGGCTTGATTCCGTCAAATGAGAAAACTGAGACTCTGAGAGGTCAAATATATTGCCCAAGATCAGGCAATTAAATAACAGCAGTTCTGTTTGCCTGATCCCAAAAGCAGGGTTCTTTACATTACACCAATGATATAAACAGCCTGCAGTCAGAACTATACAATTCTTTGACTACTGTACTCTTAATTTATGTTTTCTGTTCTCTAGGTTGAAATCTGGAAACCCTTCTTAAGAGCTTTACAAATTGAGGGCAGTATATTTTTATTATTACTCTTTTAAATCCAAAGTATGGAGAGAGTGCTTTGGGAAGAAATTATGACACAGGATGAGGAAGGTCCTCTAGGACACTTTTAGTGTCCCACAGAATGAAAGGGTTTCAGGATCTGTAACATGTGCCCGTTTTATTAGAGCTAAAAATTTGGTTAGTGGGAAAAAAAGACCACTAAACGGAATAGTATAAAATGCCCCAGCACAGTATGGCTAATGGAAATGGGATTGAACTGATGGGGAGATGTTTGTAAAAACCAATATTAGAGGATCCTGCTCTGGACTTTTTCTAGCCATGCCCCACCCTGCAGAATCAGGAGCCCATGGGGCCCAAAAGAAATGTCAGCCATTTTTAATGACAATGATATTTGTTAAACACTTGAAAGAGAGCTGAAAAGTGGTGTCTTAAAATAGGTGCGATTTTCATTTTTAGGAGAGGATAAACAAAATAACATCAATTATTATTATTATTATTATTATTGGGAGTCAGGGCTCACTGCAATCTCAACCTCCTGGCCTCAGCCAATCCTTCCACTCTAACCTCCCAAACAGCTGGGACTATAGGTGCACACCGTCACGATTGGCTAATTTTTTTATTTTTTATAGAGATGAGGTCTTACTATGTTGCTCAGGTTGGTCTCAAACTCCTGGCTGGGGTCAGGCAATTCTCTCACTTTGGCCTCCCAAAGTGCTGGGATCACAGGCGTGAGCCAGCATGTCCGGCCTAATTTTTTTATTTTTATTTTTTGTAGAGATGCAGTCTCGCTATGTTGCCTAGGCTGACCTCGAACTCCTGGACTCAAGCAACCCTCCTGCCTTGGCTGCCTTGGCCTCCCAAAGTGCTGGGATTAAGGTGTGAGCCACCACACCCAGTTGAAAAGTGGTATCTTAAATTATGTGTGATTTTCATCTTTAGGGGAGGATAAACACAATGGCATTTAAAAGTCTACTTCCAACCCATGATTTGGAGCTGGCCCAGACAGTACCTGGTGGCAGAATACCAACTGTAGGCATGGTCAATGCCCAGCCCATCCTCTCAGGGCATACACAACAGCTGTGTGCTTCTTGTTGGAGGGCAGAGTGTTCCTCTTCTTGGGGCCCCCAAAACCCCCAATTAGGCAGGGTGTCCTACAGTAGCTTCTCTTCTTCTGGGAAGGTGACAGCAACTGCAGCGTCCCCAGTCATGAGTCTGGCATTGGGAAGCGTTCCTTGTAGGAACAGGGACTGGAGAGTGGGAAGAAGTCCTTTACTCAGAACCAGCAGCTCAGAATCCTAGCTGCATGGATCTGCTTTTAACACTCCTCAGACCATAATTAAGTCTAACCCTTTCACTGTTAAGAGTGGTAGGTAGCCATTCTCATTGCCTTCTGGAAAATAGATAGAAAATATAATGAGGTAAGCAGCCCAAGCATAAGGCCCATTGGTGGCAGAACCAGGAAAAAGTTCGTTCGTTATCAAGTAGTTCACACAGCAATTTGTGTAATTTTCTCCTATTAGATCAAATCCAGCTTTAATGTACTCTAATATCTTACTAATTTTAACTGTCTTGAGAATATCTTACCCCATTGATACATTAATTCAGTTTTGACAGCCTTACTTGTAATGCCCGTATTAGTCCTTTTGAATTTCCGTGTGTATTTCGCTCATATACCCACATGAATGTGTGTGGCATGCACGCTCTCAGCACTATGTGTCAACCAGTTTTGTTCCCCCCCCACCTTTAGTATCAAAAGCTTTTGGAGAGTAGGAACCATTTTGGCTTTATCCTTTGTGAACCATCACAACACAGAACAAAGCCCTTCACAGAACAGGCACCCCACAGTCATCAGTGGATGGGACTGATGATCATCATTTTGAAATCTGAAATTCTCAATCTCTGAGTGCATGTAACACCAGCATTACTTAGAGACCAGGGAACTCTAGTCCTCTTGCTGCAGCTAGCAGCGGGGAGATTAAGAACTTGCACAAATGGTAAATACCAAAAAGAATAGTATATTGACCCCAAACCAGCTATTTTGAGACATAAAATTACTTATTTTAAGCAAGTTTAAAGATATAAACTGGAAGGCCAATGATTCTTGACACATGAGTGCCATGATACATGTTCATGCTACAAGACGTTCCTCCTGACCACACCATTAGTGATTTCTAAACTAAGGCGGAACAAGCCCATGTCCTTCCACACTTCATTCTGCCATGCTAGGATTATGTGTTGTTGTTCTTTAAACAAAGTTTCTTTGTGATAATTGAAGAAAAGAAACGGTAACTTAGGATAAAACCTCTCCAACTCTGTGGTATTGAAACAGGCTTACCATACTGTTAGAAGAGATGCTTTGGAGGTGCCAAGGGAAGGTGCCTTGGGTTTGTGACTTTATTTATTTTTTTGAGTTGGAGTCTCCCTCCGTTGCCCAGGCTGGAGAGCAGTGGCACGCTCATGGCCACCCTAGCATCGACCTGCTGGGATCCAGCGATCCTTCCGCCTCAGCCTTCCAAATAGCTGGAACTACAAGCGTGCGCTACCACACCCGGCTAATTTTTGATTTACTGTAGGGACGAGGTCTGGCCAAGTTGCCTGGGCTGGTCTCAAACGCGCTGACTTTTAACAATGAACATTTAAAGGAAGTCAGAACAGGGAAGCAGGGAGTTCCACTGGAGCAGGGAGAAATCTGAACCAGAGGAAGAATATTTCTCTTCTCTAAAGAGATAATTCTCTATCTTATTTTGCTTGTGAAGATTTAGTGAACAGATCTATTACAGATGGAAAATAAACCGATGGAGTTCAACCAGACAACCAGGGTGTCCATATATACTCCTGGGAACATTCCACCAGAGAATTCTGGCTAGAGGTAATGATTAAAGTAACACCTTATGTCTTAGTATCCCTTAACTGTTTATAAGTGATACACTTTCACATATCTTATTTCAGTCCTTATTACAAGCTGTGAACTAGGCCAGTGGTTCTCAGACATAGATTTCACAGACTAGTGTAACAACAACAAAATAGTGTGACCAACATAAGGCTGTCAACTCCTTATTTTGCCAAACAGGGAGATAAAATAAGAAAATAAATCACCAACTGTGACTACAGTCTGTTTTCATTATCATTTCATAAAAGGGGATTTTAATACTACATACTTGGAAAGAATATAATTTCAGAATAAAAGACTTTTATCTTGAACGCATTAACTTGTAGTGAAAAATTCACTACATTGTTTACTTCATCATTGTCACATTTTTTCATAGACTGTGGAAAACTTCATCTTGGGCCAGAACTGACAGAACCACAGATGGATGTTTGAGAACCCGTGAACTAGGCATTACCAACTTCCATTAACAGATAGAAAGACAGGCTAGGAGGCCTTTAATGAGTCTCCCAAGGTGGCTCAGCTAGTGAGGGCAGAGCCAGGATGTGATCCCTGATCTTCCATTTTCAAGCCAAGTATAGCATAGTCTTCTAGTTTTGAAGAGGCAGAACAACATGTATACATCTGCGTTAACAAGGTCCCCAAAGCATTCGATGGTCACTTACCACTTGGTTGGCAATGTAGTGTAAAAATGCCTTCCTTCTTGTTTCTAGACCAGCCACAGAGAACAGAACCTACTCCCGGGAAGAGTATTATGGTTCTTAGCCAGATCTGTTCCTGTGCTCCATTAAATGCTCCAACATCGAAAATGCTGAGCATGAAGCCTCTCTTACACCCACAGCACTCAATAATAATGACTATTCTATTGCAGAGTTTGAGTTAAAAAAAAAGTGTAAAACTTTCATAAATATCGAATGCTTGGTTTAGGTTTCTCTGGATTCCTGGAGGCATGTTAATTGCTTCTGAAATGAAAAGACCTTAAGAAGTCAAGTTGTAGTAAGAGTTTGAACATCTCTGTCCACCCCCCACCCCCAATATTCCATCATTCCTCTCCCTTCCAAACTTCGGTCAACTCTTAGGTCAACTCCAAGAGGGTTTTCAGAGTTGAACTCTAAGTCCAGCCATCCCGGTCCAAGACTGAACCTTAGTGGTGACTTTTTTCCTTTTGGAGAAGCTTGTATATAGCCTTGGATTAATCTGGGAAACAAGTGAGGGGAGCTTAAAAACTAATATCACCCAAGGAAAACTTGCCAATAAGAGGAGTGTCCCACGGAGAAATATGTGCTGTCTTTCTCTCTTGGCGCTCAGGAGCAAAATGGCAACTTTGGCCTCTTTCCTTTGCTGCCTAAAAGCCCACCTCCCACTTCTCTACCCCGCCCCTACCGTGCTGCACGACTGAGCAGATATGACTGGATTGGCCCTGATGGGTAGGTTTTTACTGTCCAGCAATATTTTAAGCTCCCAGCCAGACAGCTTTTATGAAGGGAGGGATAGCTGGAAAACAATGGGAGTGAGAGAATGGGAGAGCTGTGTTGGGCACCGAGGGGAGGAGGATGGGGAAAGCTGATGTGTGAAAGCTTAGATGGGGCTTCTGCAGCCTCCAAAAAGTTTCTTTTAGCAGCAGACTGGGCCTCTACAACAGGAAACCTTTGGCTTTTCTCCAGAAGGCATAAGCCTAGGGGGATTTTCCCAAGGCTTTCTCATCAGCTTAGAGATTCTTATAAATGTAGGGAGAGTAAGAGGTCACCTGTGTGCGTCCCTCTGCCCCAAATCAGAATGAAAAAGTTGGTCCTTTTTAAAGAACCATATTTCATCTTCTGTTGGTGGTTTGCTCTTGTGTCTGAAAACCTTCAGCAGTAAAATTGTGGGTATTAGAGGCTGGGAAGGGCAAGGGGAGGGGAGGATGGGGACAAGCTAGCAAACTGACACAAAATCACAGCTAGATGGGAGGAATGAGTTCTGGTGTTCTGCAGCACAGTTAAGTAAATATGACTAACTGTAATTTAAATTGTGTATTCTCAAAAAGCTAGAAGAGAAGACTTTGAATATTCATAATACAAATAAATGATATAGGACTGAGGCGATAGATATGCCAGTTCCCCTTATTTGGCCATCACACATTGGGTATGCGTACTGAAATGTCACTCTGTATCCCATAAATATCTATAATTATTATATGCCAACCAAAAATAAAAGGAAAGAGTAATTTCTAAAAAGTTCAAAACAGTAAGAAACAAATAAACCTTCAGCAGGGCAGTGTTCCTCTTTCAAAAGAAGTCTTAACACTCTAAAGAATTCTGGTGCCATTTGTCAAAGTAGTAACACTTCTCACCATGTTTCACTCATAACTACAAGTACTTTTGAGGAGCTACTGTTGAATTAATGTCAGTTAACATTTTTTAGACTTTAGTGCCTTCTTCTGTTAAATGGGGATATGCTGTTGTTGCTCACAAGAGGTTCTTGGCTGAAATACTAGTGTGGCTGCATGGAGACTGATGCTCGGGAAGCCAGCTTGGAGGCGTGGACACTCCCTTCCTATCGGCTAGGGTTGATTATTGCACTGGTATAAAACACGGTTGTTTTGATCACCTTTTCTAAACCCAAAATTAGGACATTTCATCCTACAAGTTTAGTTGTGGAAACAATGGAGCAAAAATGTGAAACTTGAATTGTTTTAGAAAATCTGCAATGTATGATTACTAAATTAAAGACAACTTTGAGAATAAACCAGATTTTTAAAAATCTAGGCACTTTCTTCCTCCTTGCATATCCTTCAACTTGTCCTGTCTAGTGTTGTGTGTGACATATTTTTTGTTTTGTGTGTGTGTGTATGTGTGTGTATGTGTATATATATAATTTTTTTTTTTTGAGAGACAGGGTCTTGCTCTGTCACCCAGGCTAGGTTGCAGTGGTGCGATCACAGCTCACTGCAGTATTGAACTCCTGAATTTAAGCCATCCACTTGCCTCAGCCTCTCGAGTAGCTAGGATTACAGGCAAGTGTCACCATGCCTGGCTTATTTTTTAAATTTTTTGTAGCAATGGGGTCTTGCTATATTGTCTTGACCTCCTGGTCTCAAGTGATCCTCCTGCCTCAGTCTTCCACAGAACTGGGATTACAGATGTGAGCCAGCATGCCAGGCCATGAACATATTTATTTTGATGGTGGCAGTTGAAGGAGGATGATAGCAACATTGTGTGAGTCCTAAATTCCATTTTAAATAAAATGTTCACTAGCCCACAATCTTATTTTAGACTTCTGCTATCTTTTGAACTCCCAAGTTGGAGGGACCACACTGACGGAGACAATGTCCTCTGGTGAATCCTTCAGTTAAAGAAAGATGGTCAAGGCTGTTCCCCCATATCAATGAGGCAAGAAATCAGAGGAAAGAGGGAGAAGAAATCCAATTAATCTTTCTTTTGAGAATACTCAGTACATGTCAATTCCCGAAGCTTGTGCTTTCCCTGAAATATTCCAGAACCTACAAAACTTCTCTTCAGATGGATCTTCTCCCCATCTAAGATTTCCCAGACCAACTTGGCTAGTGTGGTGAGGAAGCCTCACTTCCTGTCATCATTTTGTGAGACATGGTAGTAGCAGTTGTGTTTGAATATGGAGAACAGGGAGTGTCAACATAGCTCTGAGACAATTATGCTTTCTCAGATTTGGACAGATCTAGCTTTCTTTTTTCTTTTTTTTCTTTTTTTTGAGTTGGAGTCTCACTCTGTCACCCAGACTGGAGTGCAGTGGCTGCTTCTGGCCACCGCAGCCTCGACCTGCTGGGCTCCGGCGATCCTTCCGCCTCAGCCTTCCAAGTAGCCGGAATTACAGGCATGCACTACCACGCTCGGCTAATTTTATTTTATTTTATTTTTTTTATTGTAGAGATGAGGTCTCGCTGCCCAGGCAGGTCTTGAACCCACGGGCTCAGGCAATCCACTCACCTCAGCCTCCCAAAGGCGCGGGATTACAGGCTGAGCCACCGAGCCCGGCTAGATCTAGCTTTCTAACTCTGTTGACATAGAAGATATTCTACTAATAATTTCATTGACTGGTTTATTTTTGTTGTCAGTTCTGTTTGCAGTTGGGAAGTTCTTAAAAATATAAACACCCATGTACTTCTTGGGGAAAGTTTTGAAAGAGATGGGGAGAGATGCTCATCCTAGCTATTGCTGAAAGATGAGTTGTCTGTTTCTCCCAGGAATCAGAATCACTTTCTCAGGTCTTTCCGAGGGACGTCTTCTTATGGTGTCTGTATTGCATTATTCAATGTACATAGCTCAATCTCTAGAATATGAGACATAATTGCAATAGAGTGCAAATTCCAATTTTCTTATTTTGTAATCATATAGAATAGATTATTAGACTGTTGACATTTTAGATAATCTAATGGTGACATTCTTCTACCAGGGTGCATTTTGTAAACAACGAGGTAGTTATGTGTGGAAAGGTTATGGAATTTGCTGTTAGAACATCTGGCTTTGATTGTGGCTCTTCTGCTTCCTATTTGTGAGCAGCTTATTCAGCCTCTCAGGGCCTCAGTTTTCTTATCTGTGAAGTAGAGATAACTGCCTTTCTTGTTTTGTGAAAACAAGATGGTGGCTGAGGATCTAACCTATGAGATGTTGTTAATCCCTGTTCACTTGTTGGTTATGTTTGCTCTTATATGAGTATGGCTGTGCCCTGTGCCCCAAGGTCATGGGTTGGTTTGTTTCTAAGTATATGTTGATCAAGGTCACATCTGCCCCTTTCTCAAGAGAAGGTGTTAGAACTGGGAAAGACTGTAGGAGATCATTAGCACCAACCCCAATTTAATAGATGAGGAAGCCAAGGCTCAGAGTGGAAAACAACCTGAGGTGGTGGCATAGCTCTGAGGCCCATGTGCTTTCAGTGGCTCTGGGTGTCTCCACTTTGGGGCATAGACTCATTTAAGCAGCAAGCCTCTTTAGGGAGAACCAGGTGAACTCTGGCATGAGTAGAAGGGTAGAAAGATTAGTGAAGCCTGAAGGGCCCATCCTCAGTCAATCCCTATGATGACAGGGATTAGGTGGTACAGAATCTCTCTCTTCCAGGTACTGGGGTGTGCAACAGGATACAAGTCTCTGAGAAACACAGAACTGGGCACTATGGGTGAATCAGGTCACTTCTCAGTATTTCAGGCCCAGCTCTGACTCAGTGGGCGGTGTTAGGAGATTCATTCAACAAGGATTGGTTGAGTTTCCACCCTCTGAGGTGTTTGGGGAACATCGGTGAGTAAGACAAAGACTCCTGATATAGCAGAGCTTCTCTTCTAGTGGGGAGGCAGACAATAAGTATTAAACACAATAAATAAGTGGATCATATAGTACACTGGAAGATGCTAAATGCTACCTAGAAAATGTATGGCAGAGTGAAGGGGATTGGAAGAGCTGGTAGCGGGGAGGTGGTGCTCAGAAAGACCTTGCTGAGAAGGTGGGATTTGAGCAGACTTCAAAAAAGTGAGGAGAGAGCCATGCAGGCATGGGAGGAATGATGCAGGGCGAAGGATCTAGGGAGCAAGGGGGCCAGAGGGGCTGAGTAGAGTGGGCAAGGACAGAGAAAGCTTGGGAAATGCAATTTCTGTCTCCAGGTTGTTTATCCATGTGTGGTTTGTTCACCTGCACGTCTTCAAAATCCCAACATCGCCAATAAACGAGTTACCACCTGGCATCCAACATACAATTTCGCCCTCCCTGTCTACCATAGGTTTTTGTTAAGAAGCCACCGTGTGCTTCGCGTGGTGCTGGGAACACAAAAGTGAATATGGCAGGATCCCCAAGGCCGATGCCTAGCACATGAAGAGGCCTGTGCACATTGACTCAAAGATATGAGGGTGGTAGAGAATCCCGTCCACCTCACCATGCTGAATCCTGGCCATAGCCTAGGGCTGGGAGCCTCCATCTTGTAGGAAACTGAATAGTGAAGGGGCTGATGCTAGGCTCTGGAGTTAGATCATCTCGGCCTTACCACTGCCCTGCTGCCTGCCCTTGCCTAAGTGACTTTCCTTGTCTCAGACTCAGTTTTCTCTTGTGAAAAATGGGAAGCAGTGCCTGCCTCAAAGAGTTGTCGTGATTAAATACAACAATGTGTCTGGGACGAAGCTCAATACTTGGTATAGTATGCACTTGAAAAATAGTAACTGCTATTACCATTATTAGGAAGAAAGTTTAGCTACCACTGGAGAGAGGTCAAGGCTTCTTTGCTTCACAGGCATGGGAATCAATACTTTTTGTGGTTTGTTTTGTGCCACCTGGAAAGGCCAGAGGCAAGCCATAAC